GTTAAAATATAAAATACCTGACAGAAGGTTTCTGTAGTTTATGCATAGTTTTGGAGATGTGTGGGAGGGGGGATATAAGAGAGGATTAAGGAGGAAAATCACAGACATGGCGAATGACCTGGACTTAAAAACAACTGATGCCACATTTATATAGGAAATTATACACTTCGACAGGTTTCCGTGGATAAAAATCCTTACCCTATTACTCTAATTCGTTAATTTGTAATTTGAATTCATGGACTATTTCAAATCTGAAGGTGCAATATAAGTTATTGCCCAGAATGAAAATTCCAATGGTGCGAAGGTTCGTATGACACGCCAATGCGCACTGAATTTTCCCGTTAAAAGTTCCTTTTAGAAAAACATAGAGCAAAGACGTTGTAAAAGAAAGCCCTAATATTTGAGTTCCTTTCAATACCTATATGCATAATAAATTTGAAAGGAAAGGTAAATGTTTTTTTGTGGGCTTTTTTTTAGACTATCTACAAATACATATAATCTGAAGAGTTTGATGAGCTAAAAGTAAAGTTTGTTTCTTGTCTCAGTTTACAGTTAAAATATACACAATGAACAACATATTTGTAATGCGATTGTTACCTAAATATCCAAATAAAGTTGTGATGTTTTTAACGCTAAAGCTTCATATAAAGCATTCTTTTAAACTTGGAACAGACCATGTAAAAAAAGAAATGGTTTAGATATCAGCAATGTCTTAAGAAAAATAACGTTCTTCCTTATCAGGGAGGTTCGATGTTAATATGAATGGTTTCACTTGTAGATAAAAGTATATCACTTGTGTTGCGATTTTTAGATCTGGATGATTTCCCGTAATTAATCGTGTTACTTCGACATAGATCGGGGCATGGACGTTCTAAGGACAGTCCCCAATTGGATATTTCATATAAGCACTACATTTGACGATATATTGCTTCATGTAGGCAATAATTATTATTGTTATATAATGATGATCAAGCGTCGTTGTTTGGAAAACTATTCGCTTCAGGTTGATCAAACAGATGTTTATGAATTGTTTTTGTTTAAAATTTCAGATGTCAGATAGGATGTCGACGCAACTATTAATGGCTATCTGGCTAGCTATTATCTGTATGGTGACGTGTAAACCTCTACATACAGAGACCAATTTATCAGATTTATTAGGTGATAAAATATCTCCTAATCTCCAAGGTAGCAATATATTTAACTAATCTTCTAACAAAAATCAAGCGCATTCGATCAGTCAGAGCACTAAGCCCAAATGACGAATTCGGCAAATCGAAATAGTAGAAATTTTATTTGTACAGGAGTTAAACCAGTTCGAACTTGTGGCAGTCCTTCCATGCCATCTTATGTACATAGACCTACCTACTTGATCGTAATTTTTAGTTTATCTGTGATCTTGTGTCTAGAGAGCTGGGATTGCAATCTGAAAGCTCTGGCCTGATCTAAAATAACACGCAATATCCCAGCTGTAGACGGTATTATGATGCATTGATTACGTAACCAACAAAAGGAAAGCCGTCTGCTTAGGTGTAAAGATCGCAGAAGTATAATGTAATGTTTCTTGAATTGTTGATACTTAATGGCGTTCATATCGAGAATTAGGGACTATAATATAAATCATAATATGATCATTCGATAAGTACTTGTTTTGCCAACCGAATATTCGATATAAATATATAAATAATGCGATATAATATGGTTATTGCTATATATTTATTTTATATGTCATCTTTGCAGATAAAGCTGAAGCTATTGACACATTACTCCAACTTTTATCCGAGATTGACCTACCTTCCATATGTGACGCCATATCCGCCCAGAAGAAGAACCCACAAATGCAGACAGTAGACGCCATCTTGGCTGAGGTCGCTAAGTCGCAAGCTATGACCTTTATTCCGACCAATTTGCCGGAAACAGTCGACGTGACCCGCCCCGGTACTATTTCCGATCTTTTCCTTCTGGAGATTGCTGGTAGCTGAACTCGCTTCTCAAGACCAGTCGGCGCGGCTGTTTTTGTTTCTTTTTCGTGGTCTATTTTAAGCATGATAGCATGGTCGGTAAAAGATCTGTTCTATCTTTCAGACTTTTCTAAAAGGCATGTCTATTTAAGAAATATTTTTAAAACATTATTTCTCTCGGTTTTTAGATGTTGTAAATTACGTTGCTTTTTCAACCTTCTATAGTCCACCAAACTTGATACTTCTTTCTGTACACAAAACATAAATGGAATTCGTTCCGAGCACTATTTTATGATTTGCTTGATAAAACTAATTTTCTGTTCGTTTTATTGTTTCTCAAGAAATAATTTATTCTGAACTAGTTGATTTAAATCTAAAAACCAATTTAGAAGTGCTATTTAATATATCCACACAGCAATACTAATAGTTCTATAATATCTGTGTTTGTTTTTTTTTCTAAAACTTCAAGACGTATGTAAGTGTAATATTCATGGTTGATAGTTTCGCTAACACCTTTGTTAAGTGTAAATCGCTATAAACAATGAGGCGAACATTCCTTTGACAACCAGTTTGTGTTGAGAATACCTATTTAACTAATTTAGCCTTCCTGTATTTCGAATCAGAATACATTCGTCTTGAAGTTACAGCAAAATGCATGTTTTAGTTGTTACATGTACGATGACATTGTTTCATTTTCTGGCAGTTCTAAATATATATTAAATCGCATGTAGCGTAGCAAATCAAAACCATAACAACGAAGACATAATTTGAAAAAATTATTCCATTGGAAAATATGTTATCCGTAATTCCAGAAAGAGTTAGCCCAATCGCCACCACATACGTCGCAGTATTTCGTCTGCTTTATAAATGCACATAGCCGTGTTAACTAAATATATTTGTGACTGGTTAATCTCGTTTTCATTCGTCATTCGATAATTTACTGACCCTCTATGAATTCCTCTATTATGAAAAAATCAAAAGTGATAAGAAAAAGGAACATTAGAAATGACCCGAAAATGAAGCAGTAATGTCAGAAATTAATTCCTCTGATATTTTCATATCTTTTATTTTTCATTATAGCATGAAACTCGGCATTGGTTCCGGATATCGAATCTGTTCTATATTGCTCTCAGCTCCACGTCGCAGCTTCTGCATTTCTTTTTTTAATAATGCATTTTCACTATTAACTTATATTAAAAAAAATAACGACTTGGCATATTATATGTTATTGTTGAAAGATTGGTAAAAGTTGGATATTTTTGATTCGAATGTATATATGATTGTATTTTTTCAGATGATTGTTTTATTAACTATAATTTATTGTTGTAATTTGGTCGGTCGGTTGGGTAGATGTTTTTATTTACAATTTTCTAGTTTTTGTGTGTGCATTTATCTATATATCTATTTAAACAACTGGTGTGAATAAGCATTTATCTGGGTGTAAAGAAATTATTTCATAGTCCAAAAAAGAATAGCATAGATTCAATTTGTTTTCGAAAATTTCCCGTATTTTATCGAGTAATGAAATGAAGATAATGAATTATGACACATACTTATGGAAAACAGCTACTTATGTGTTTGGGCGACGTTTTGGAGAGTATTCCCTGAATGTTATCAAACTAATATTTTGGGAAACGTCGACCAAATAGATTAGTTTAGCTATCAGCTTGATAATGATAACGTTGTGAGCTGTTTTCTATGAGTATTGTCGGGTTAAAAGAAAGCATAGATTCAGTTTTTTCAAAAATTCAAGTATATTTTCCAGTAATAAAATCAAAATAGTTAATGATTAACCAATCGAAACAGTATATCACACATGACAAAATATAGCTTCAATAAATACAAATACGGGCTCTTTTGGTTGTAATGCAGTTTGTTTAGTTGTTTGAACGATCGTAATACCGTGAAATAATTTCTTGCTAATTGCTCATAAGGCGATACTACCGTATTGATTACAAGGTAATGTTGGTGATATTTTGATGAGATTAAGGTAACCTACAAATAAGTTGGTCAGTTTATTGATTTTGGTCTATGTTATTTAGCAAAGTTACGGTAAGTTGTCGGAAGCCAAGCTGCCAAAAGTATGTAAATGATTGAACGACTGGGGGAATATAAGATATACCCGCCGTGTGCTGAAAATGTGAGGAATACCCTTGAAGTAATTTGTTATTATAAGCAGAAACAAAATCTATCCAGATGTCATGCCAGTTCTTATCTTAATTAAGGACATTTAGGGCCATATTCTAATAACGTCTAAGCTTAGGCAAATATTGTAACTCCACAAATTTTGTTCAACAATCAGATCTTAAAATGTATCGTATCCCACTTTTCTGTAACCTTATATTCTGCACACTTGGTTGTAATGCGAACTCTAAATTAAGGGTATCACAGAAACAACAATTTTAAATTCAATTGCGTCAGTGAACCGCCGGTGGTTAATATAGATTTATTTATATTAAAACACAATAAACCAATAATGTACAAATATTAAAGCAGTACGTTGTTTATGGTACGTGTCCATTTTTCAATTGTCGATTTCTCTTCATGTTGCATTAAAATATTTGGTTGTTTCTTCCGCGAGGACCATACGATTAATACAAATATTGAAAACAAATGACCAATATTGGTCTGGTTAATTCGTAAATTTAGGATTATAACTGTATTTAGATCAAGTAATATGAACAGTAGGGACAAGTGTTGGGACGATTTCAAATATTTAAAAAGATTTACATTACACGAAGGAAGCAAATATGGTTTAGACAGGTAACTCAATGAGTCATCGCTCCTTATGTTGCACTTGATCTAAAGTTTATCAAACATTAACATGTTACTTCCTATGGCGCTGTGTTGAGACACAAATCGAAAGGGCGCAAATAACATGAAAATTGAAAATTATAACGGATGTCTTTGAACATCCATGGGAAATGTTTCTAATACGATGTAATATCCAAAAATAATTACTTTAAATAACATGTGTTGTAAAGGTTAAATCCAGAGTGTAAAATCATATCTAAAGTACTATTATGTAAACACGGATGTCTTTGAACATCCATGGGAAATGTTTCTAATACGATGTAATATCCAAAAATAATTACTTTAAATAACATGTGTTGTAAAGGTTAAATCCAGAGTGTAAAATCATATCTAAAGTACTATTATGTAAACATATACTGGTCCAAATATAATTCAACTCGGACATTCAAAGTTTATAAGTATTTATATTATCATTGATTTTACACCCTTAACTTTACTTTGAAACTTAAAGCAATAATATTTCTCTTATCTCTTGGAAGGTCTTGTGTCATGCGCGGATGTGCTTAATTACAAAATAGCAAGTTTCTACAATCGAATAGTACATATTTATGACTTTTGAGATCTGGCTTGTATCTGTATCAAAGCATTGTTTACGATTAAATTTACATAAAGGTGTTTTATGCAAAATCCCATTTGGAAAGATTTACAGTCAAGTCCAAAATAACGATAGATGTGTGAAACCCTAATAGCTATATACCTGTCTTTGTTTACTGTTACCTTTTTAACAGTACATAATTGTAACATAGCCCATTAGAATAATAATAAATAAAAAGCGTCTCATTTCTGGTCTTGAAAAACTGTGACTCAATTGACTTATTGAAGTTTTTTTTTTCCAAACCATGTTTACCCGCTCTACCTTTAAATATACAAGAGATAAGCCCAAAATAAAGAGTCGTTCGCTCTCTTTCCTTTTAGTTGATCTGAAATTATACACTTGTAAAGCTTATTTGAAAACGAATTTATGGGTCTTCTTATTTGAACGGAGAATCCTAAATCTAAAGACAGGTTTTTTTTTGTTTAGCAAGACAGGATTACTCTAAACGTTTACTAAATATTTACTTGGCTTTGGATTTGTAAAATAATACGAGGATGACTCATTCAAGATAGATTATGTCAAGTGTTTGGACCCAAATAATGAAAATCTTTTTTGTAAATAACTAACAAAAGGGCGGATGAACTGGTTGAATGAAATATCAAGTAATAGATCAAATAAAAGGGATATAAAATTTGATTTTGTAATTTATCACATCAAGCTCATATCAATTATATGTATCCAAGTTCAGATGAATTTAGAAGGTAAGCAAAAGAAGACATATTATTAAATTTTAATTTAAATAGATGTGAACCTCTACTAGTCACGTGATGTGTTGGGGCTAATTTGCATATGAGATGATCTAAGGTATTTTTGATATTGTTCCTTTGTTGTTGTGGCTTGTTTCTTTCTACGTTTTTTTTATCTTTGAATTGTTTTGATTTTACTCTATTTATGGTTGGTGAGTAAGATTTCGATGTGCTTGTGTTTTTCCTTTTTGGCCAGATTTTCTAAAAACCTGTTGCTTTCTGTCATGTTAATCGTTTAGACAGTTCTGACATGTATATATATAATGACGTATTTTACATGTACGTATTTAATTAATATTTGCTGCGAATCTGCGTTACGTCATAACAAATCTTGCTTTTCAGAATAATCTTGGTTCGGTCAGTTTTTTTTATGTTTTAACTCATGTTTTATCTAACTTCTTAACATCTCAACATAGCTTGATTATCTGGCCGATTGGTTTGGCACAAAGCGTTGTGATAATATAACTGATACAATTATTTTTGGCTGTCAAAATTTTATAACCAGCTATCGTCCTGTAGCATGATACAGTTCTTCTACATGGAATTGTTTTCATTAATTTCGCACCTTTGTAATCAGGATTGGATTCTTGTTTATTTTTCTTGCTACCATATTTAGTTACCATAATAAATCAGTTGTTCTGAGGTCTGTTATTTTAACTATATTTTGTCTTTTTGAGGATTGTTCATAAATTGTCTCTTAATTGGTTTATATTGATTGTTGGAAACATTGATTCAAATCGCATATTAATGCATTTTTAATGCATAAATGATATTTAATAATAATTTTTTTTTCAATCTTGATAAAGCATTTATTAGATTTCTTTGAAACCTATTTTTCAACAGGTGCCATCTTTTTTCTTTGATAAATTAGGTGATGCTCCAGTTGCTTTTCTTGATAACACAAAGAAACCCAAGGTAATCAGACCAAGAATTAACGGCAAAGTAAAGAGTATATTCCTTGGACGTGATGCTAAACAAGCCAGCCAAGAGGTAACTATTTCTCGAGCAGAAGGCGGTATGGGACTTTCCTTAGATAAAGCAGCTGCTCTTAAATCCCGAAAACAGCAAATCAACAAAACGAATCTTGACTCATCTGATATTACTGTCGATGTTTCTGTACGAGCTCCAGCTAGCAAGAATTTACCATCAAAGAACCATCATGTACCAACAACCCCTCGTCCCCCGCATACCACATTCAAACTTTCAGCTCTTACGACCATTTCAACTCCAGTAACCACTCCAACCACCGACAAATCTGTCAAGAAAGACACAACCATCCCCACACTATCAAGTGACATGATGCTCCCCGATGGCTCATTCGAATCTGGAGATGGCGAAATTATCATGGAAACCTTTACAACTGAAAAATATACCACGAGCAAACTAGAAGATGAAGCCTACACCAAAACGGATATGTTTGAGTCAACATTTGACAACATTTTAAAGAATATCTTTAAATATCAGGATGAGAAAGATCTTGATTTGAAGAAGGCTTCTCCGGATACAGACAAACCCATTCTAGCGTTAAACCAACTGACAAAAGAAGCGAGTTTTGAACCATCCAATAGCTCAAATTATACCAAAGAGGCTCTAGTACACAGCCTTCCAACAACAGTAGATCACACACCATTAATAAATGAATCCAATTCCTTGACAACTGTGGATAAATTACCAAACTCCGATTATTCAGATGAAACAATCTTGCCAACACCATCAGCTGATGACGATTTGAGTTTTACCCTTCCCTCAAACACAACTCTTGCTCAATATATCTTTGGAAATACAACCCTCGACGACAACTACTCCAACGATCTGGCTTTCATCTTGAACAGTACGCTCCCATTAGACTACCTTATCAGCAATGACACATTATACAACGAATTCATGAGCATCATCAACGAGACTCTTTCATATGATGAAATCATAAAGCAGGCTAATATGTCTATAGACATGGCATTACACGAAACAGGCGATTACCAGAATTTGATTGACTACATTTCTAACATGACTGCAGTCTTAGATACGGAAGCCAACTATACCAGCCCACCTGAAATAACTGCCTACCATACAACCCATGGTATCAAAATCAACACAGATGATGGAAATGCTACCACGACTCAGACCACCAAGACTTCAGCAAAGAAAGTAGCTAAAAATACTTCTACGACATTTGCTGCAAAGATCAATACTAAACCTGCCAGATCCAGCACAGTTAATACCCGAGCAAGAGTTACCGACCCTGCTAGATTTGAGTACGCTGATTCTAGTGCCCCTCAATATTCAGCAGTCCAAGAAAAAGAACGCGAACACGAAGGACACCGCCATAACTACCCACAAAAGACCGATTTTGCCGCTGGAGATTATTACAGCAATGAAGATCAAGATATTGAAAGAAACTCTAATAATAACCAGGTCACCAAACCATTCAAACACTCTGGCTTCGCTCCTGTAAACTTAGATGACAGTTATAAAAAGAACGCCCGCCACGCCGGTCTATCCTATCTCGGATTCGATTTCAAACACATCAACCGAAGCCCTTACACCCCTAAATCAGAGAACTCCGAGGTAGCTCAACTGGTTAATCAGAAAACTATTTGGTCTGAATCAACACAAAAACACGTTACATCTCCCGCAGGTGGGTAACATTTTATTAGAAAAACCTTCTGGTAGATTTCTGCTGAGGGTCATCTGCAATCCCAACATTGTATTATTGATGTTAATGGCCAGCGTGGCGGCCATCTTAACACCTCGATGTTTTCATAAATAGGATAGTTTCTTATAATGAAATTGTTTTGAATCGGTGTTGACAATTGTATTTTAAATTGGTCATATTTTGGCCAGAACAGTGGTTGTGATTCTCTTTTTAAAAACTATATGGCCTATATTTCTTTTACTTTCAGGATATTCATGTCCCGGTTTATTTGGTTACTATGGTGACGCACACAACTGTAAAGCATTCTTCATCTGCAGTTGGGGTGTGCCTTACCGATTTCACTGTCCCACGGGAACCATGTGGAGTAGTAAAGAAAGTGTTTGTGACTGGAACCGAAATGTTATTTGTCATGAGAGCAAGTAAAGCTTGAATACTTCTGCAATATGTATCGAACATTAGCAATGAATCGTTTATTCGAAGAAAAGACTTCAGTATAATCGACTTACCTCCCTTTATATGTTACCATTCACGATTGAAATACCAGAGTAACAGACTTATTATTTGAAGGAAGGTCAAATATCAAAAACTATGATGATATATAAATAGTGTATATAATAGACAAAAGACTATTTATAAGTCTGTCACGAACGACAACTCATATAGAAGTTCGAATTTAGAGACGGGCACGTGACTGTAGGAAGGTGGAGTGTAAGTTTCACGTGTCCCTCCGGTGATAAAGTGATATATAATTATATATTATGTAAATAGGAATATATTTATAATTAATCGATGTATTCATAACCGTTTTTCACTGCATCACCTGCAGCAACACACCAGCTAATCACTTCACTATTGACTTTATTTTTATTACCAGAAAAATAAGAAGTATGGCAGCCTTGGTCCAATGTGTTACTTCGACATAGCCAAGTTCCAATGCGGTACTTTAGCACAGCGAAATTACAGTGCGGTACTTTCATACAGCAACATTAGTCGCATACATTACTGAACATTTTTGTTTCAACTAACAATTTGATATTGTAATTCAAATCATTGCATACGACCTTGAAAATATCGGGTCCAATGTGTTCATCGTTTGTTTTAGATATGGGCAAGGCTCCTAGAAAAATCACAAGTCGTCTCATAATATGTCATTTGTTTGTGCTGCAATAACCCGCAGGGTTTTCGTAAGGTCAAATTTAATATTATGAAATACTGATTTCATGTAGACTTTATCGCCAACTTTTAAATGTATATTCAAAACTCGAAATATTGGGAATATTTATATTTTAAAAAGCTGCACTCAAACTGACTATGATTTTTTTAGGATCCAAGCTGTTGTTTTTGTTTTATGATTTCGTCCTGTGTTCGTCTTATTGTTGGGAATAATATTTCTTATTCCTTTCTTGTGAATTAATCAACACGGGTCTTAATATAATATTTAGGAATAGTAACAATTTGAACGTTTTTGTTAATTTTTGTTCAGTGTCTGATCATCATTCTAGTAATAGCTTGTCTCTTTAAAGTGCACGTGGCTTCTCTAGCTTTATGTTTTTCCACGTTTTATAAGCACATGAATGCACCATTTATATAGAGAGTATATCATTATGTACATAGAACACCTGCTTTATCTCATTTGAAACCAGTTGTTATTTTTCCATTTAAATCAGACAATGCTTTAGTTTTTCATGTGTAACGTGTTCTTTATTATTATGTTAAAACTTCATGTTTCAATTCCTTGGGATTTTCTTTCCTATTAGAAGTTCGAATTTATGTGTCCATTAGGATTTGTGTTACTATTAGGAATAATTCAAGTTTATGTTAGGAATTCAAGTATGTATTAGGATTAAATGATTCGAGTTTCGGTGCGGATTTCATTCGGAAATTCACGTTTAATGATTTATGTTAAAATATCATATTTCAATTCCATTCTGGTTTCTTTCCTATTAAATGTTTGAATTTATTTCACCATTAGGATTCATGTTACTATTAGGAATTCGCGTTTGTGTTAAGATTAAATGCTTCTGTTATGATTCGCGTTTCGGTTCGGATTTCTTTCGGGAGTTCATGTTTAATCTTTTACGTTAAAACTTCATATTTCAATTCCATTCTGGTTTCCTTCCTATTAAAAGTTCGAATTTATTTTTCCATTAAGATTCATGTTTTATGTTAAAATTTCGTGTTTCAATTCTGTGGGGTTTTCTTTCCTATTAGAAGTTTGAATTTATGTTTCCATTAAGAATCGTGTTACTAAAGAATTCAAGTTTATTTTATAAATTCACGTTTGTGTTAAAATCTCATGCTTCTGTTAGGATTCGCGTTTCGGATAGGATTTCTGTCGGAAATTCATGTTTAAGCTTTTATGTTAAACTTCATATTTCAATTCCGTTCTGGTTTCCTTCCTATTAAAAGTTTGAATTTATTTAGGATTCATGATACTATTATCAATTCAAATTTATGCTAGGAATTCGTGTTTGTGTTAAGATTAAATGGTTCTGTTATGGTTCGCGTTTCGGTTCGGATTTCTGTCGGAAATTCATGTTTTATGTTAAAATTTCGTATTTCAATTCCGTGAGGTTTTCTTTCCTATTAGAGGTTCGAATTTATGTTTACATTCGTTTATGTCATGGATTCATGTTTGTGTTCAGATTACATGTGTCTGTTAGGTTTCTGTCATGACTATCATAGCTTTATTTTACTATTATAAATTTTAATTTCTCTAGGGAATTGCGTAGGCTGGCTCATTCGCGTTAAGGTGTGGACGTTTCTGTTAGGATTATGACTCCACGTTAGAAGAACAAACGAAATTGTTACTTGGCTCACCAATCCCCACACACAAAAAACGAAAAGTGGTATGAGGGGTTTTAGTTATTACACCCTGGCTTGCTTAGAGCTAAATTTGACATTAGGCCCCACTTTTTAAGATTTTTATGTGTGTTTTATGTGTGTTGTGTTTCGGTTTATACAGGTATTGATCTTCTGGATTCGTTTTACTGCTACATGTATTTCATATCCTCCCCAATAAGTAGATAATTAAAGTATATAGGTAGAAAACTATATTTAATCAAAATTCAAATTAAAATAAGAGTAGTAATATTTTTGAAATTTGATTTATGTTTTCTGTTCTTTGAAATTGAGAATTTCTTATCTTGCACTTTTGTCTCCTTTATGTGTTTATTCGAAGTTTGTATTTTCTTCCTCTTTGTTCGTTAACATGGTTTATTGTGTTCTGTAGTAGATATGGAAAACCAGTCGTTTAAGATTATGTACGCAAAACGGATCAAGTTGTTTCTTCTTTCTGTACAATGTAGATTAGATTTACCAGACATTTTGTTGTTAGTATTTAAAAGTTAATTTTGTGTATCAGCGTACTTGGTAGATAACTTTAACCAGACACACATTATATTGTTGCTGGCATTATGGTATTTATGCATATGTAAATATAATATATTATAACGTTGTATATAAGAAAAGTGTATATCACAACTCGTTTTTTACGTTTGTATAGTTATTTTTATACGAAACTTGTAATAATTATGTATATTAATCACTTGTTTATCTTGTTGCTTTGTATAAACACCGTTTCTTTATACTGGCTGTTGTATAGACACCGTTTCTTTATACTGGCTCTTGTTTATTCTATATAAATTCATGTAAAAATAATCCAATTTGTTGTTTGTTGTTCTTTGGCATATTTGATGGATGAGATGAAGATGATCGGGGGTCATAAACATTTAATTTAATTTAAAGGGGAATCGTACATTTATTAATAGATATGGTAAAGGTTCATATAATACCATTTATGTCGACTGTGCGCATTAAAGAGGGGGAGAAACTAGGTCATTTCGGGACTAAGATATGGTTCAATTTCATTTCCATAAGTCGCTTGCGCACAGGAGTCTTTAGTAGTGAGAGGAAACCAGAGGACCCGGAGAAAACCCACGATGTTGGACTGGCGACCCTACCCTTGTCACGTACAACCCGGGAATCGAAATGACAGACCTAATGATACAACGCACACGCGCATTAAAAGATGTATATCTCTAATTAAATAAAATAGAATTTAACGTCTTGCTGTTCTGTACAACCCGGGCCAATGAATATGGGCATACGCTATGAGGGAAGCGTTGATGTGACATCGGCGCTACGGCTTACTCTTATTCCTTATTCCTCTTGTCAGGGATATTTGACCGACTGCCAATAGTATACGTGGGATATCGTTTTGAGATTTGACTAAACTGCAATTATTTGCTATTGGAATAGCTCAAATAAAGGGAGACAAATCACTTATAGTTTAGAAATGGATGCGGACCACCATTAAATTTCACCATTGTAGTTCGTCTATTTATAGCAATTCTCTCTCTGTCTCTTTTCACCCCTTTGCATGCCCATTTTTGTTGATTTTTGGTCTAGAATGGACGAAGAGGGTTTGAATTAACATTTTTTGCCAGGTTTTAGTAAATAGCACCTTTTAAAGCATTTCGTTGGAAACATATTTTGAATCACAGCCACTACGCACAAAAGGCTTTATTAATTACATATCTATTCAAACGTACTGTGATTTCCATTTGTTGTTTACTCGGTTAAAAATGAGGCTTAGTGATCAATAAAATATCATACTCCTCTTTTTTTAAAATATTATCAACTCTCAGTCCTGATCTCCTCGAGATCTGAACATAATCTACTTTAAAAAGAATCCTGCAGGATGACTATAAATCTGTTTTTAGAATTGAACATTCTAGTTATAGTTAAACATGTGATATATGTATGTTTGTATCTGGCAAAATTATAATTAGCTACATTCCATGAGTAGACATAATAATTGTACAAGTTTTAGGAAATTCGAAACATAATTAACCATTCTACAGACATTAAACATTAAAAGTTCTATGCCTGTCCAAATGTTCAATTTATTTAACGTGGGCTATTCAAATATAAAAGATATATTTTCGACCCCAAATGTATTCAGTGGAAGTCTCAACGATATGTCGAGGTTGACACAGGAACACCCAGAAAGCGCTTTTGTGGTGGGGGGGGGATGGATGGCCCAATGGTTAGCACGTGCTCGCTGTATCATAAGGTCTGTCATTGAGTCAACTGGCGTGGTTTCGAATCCCCGGTTGTACGTGACAAGGAGTAGGGTCGCCTGTCCAACCTCGTAGGTTTCTCCGGGTCCTCCGGTTTCCTCTAACTGCTAAAGACCCCTGTGCGCAAGCGAATTATGGAAATGAAATTGAACCATATCTTAGTCCTGAAATAACCTAGTTTCTCCCTCTCTTTAATGCGCACAGTCGACACAAATGACATTATATGAACCTTTACCATACCCTCCCATTGCTAAAGACCCCTACGCACAAGCGAATTATTGAAATAAAATTAAACCATATGTTAGTCCCGAAATGGCCTAGTTTGTGTCGAGTGGACGTTAAACTCTCTCTCTCTCTCTCTCTCTCTCTCTCTCTCTCTCTCTCGCGCGCGCTTTTGTGGGAATTCAAGAGGCCATTAGATTCTCATTCGTAACAGGGAAGTAACTTGGGGCGCGATAGCGAAAAATATTGGCACCTGAATTGTATTAACTAATGTGAATGTACATGTTTAGCACGTGTTGCCCTTTAGTACATTTTTAATATTATTAATATCGAATAGCATGTGTTTATATGCATATATTATTATTGAATTTTGACACCTGCTACCTCGTAGTTATAGTTAGTTTATAGTATTGTTCTTATACACTGTATTCTAGTTTACATTATATACATCTTCGATAATTTTAGACAATGATGAGAATACCACTCATACACCCTTAACATTACCATTGTATTAGAAAATGTCGGAATTCTAACAAAAATTTAAAATATCAAAAACAGATAAAGGGTAGATCTCATCAGAGAAATACTAATTATCCATAGATATATTGAATTGGGTGTAACTAGGCTTGCGAAGATACCGTGTCTAAACAACAAAATTTGCATAAATTGGACTGTGTCCTTATTTGCTCCGATGTCAAAGCTTGTGTAGATCAAATTAAATCATGGTGTGTGAAATATTGTTTTCGAAAATATTGAAAAACAATGTAATCCAATTGGAGTGATGTCTGTAAATTAAGGTTAGGCCGAAAAAAACAACAATTTATTGAAAGTGGATTCAACATGGGACGTGTAACGTCATTTTGGAAATATAGTATTGTTATGGTCGGTTTCATTTTAATCAACATTTATTTACATATATTTGTCATCTCTAATGAACACAGTGGTCGTTTAAACAAACTGATGAATTTTGATGAACGGACAATGCTTAATTTTGTGTCAAAGAAATGCAATAATAGTGGTGGAAATTTGAACACTCATTTAAAATATGAAACAATTGTTAGTGGTCCAAAGTCAATACGTGCAGTCATACCTGTAGCAACCACAAATCTTATTAATATATCACGGGCTAACGACAACACAATTTGGATGGATAATCACATTCCCCAACATGTGAAAAGAACTAACTTTATAGAGAAGATTAAACTTTCGTTTGCTAATAATAGAACAGTAGTAAACACACTATATCTCAAAAAAATATCTGGTATTACTAACGAGAAAAATGAAGAAGAGGATAGACCCATTCATCAAGTCTCGGAACCTGGAATGGGAAAATTTCAGGAGATCGATGAACAAAGGGATTATGTTTATTCTTCGTTTTATGATGATATTGGAGATCCGATTATACGAGTTATTGCTTTAATGCAACGTAAGCATTTAAAACAGCATCTCCTATGTCTTCTGTGGTACAATAATACAATTTCTGAAAAGGTGGTCTCCAGGGTATACGTTATTCCTGAAAGTCATTATGGATATAGGTATGTGGTTTGATTTTATATATTATACTGTTCTGTTCTGCCCCGACTAGGCTAATGGAGACAGGTTGCATTTAATATGAATATAATGTATAAACATGAACACCAAGATGACAAATGATGATTCTGTAACACAAAATATCTTAAGTGTGAAATATAGATAAAGGAGGTCAGATTCAGTCGCGATCCTATCAGACACATCTTAAAGTCACATTTTTCTATTGCATCGTACGCGTGTTTACAACAATATGAAAGGAAAGTAAAAACTTCTTCCAAACTCCAAATCATAAATATTGATGATTTTCCTTCCTATTTATAGTAATATAATACAACTCGCACTTAATAATGACTTAATTTTGGGTATGCTCTCCAAGCCTAATCGTATAAATATAGGTTTTATCCCAATATGTCGTCGCTATGTACTAGTGCCATAACATGCGCCCTAACAATCTATTGTTGTCGATATACAAAACAGGGCTGGTACCATTTCTCTCAACACAGCGTAGTGTGTGGTTTTATAGATTTCATATATTTGATCGTTGGCGCATGAACTTATTAATCTCACTCCCTTGTCATTTGACTACAGTTACCCGAATCATTATGAAGTGAGATGCGAAAGTTACCAGGTATGACTTTTTCCTTCGTGTGTCGTTTTGATTTGGGGTTTTGATTATGACTATACCTACATGTATTTATCATTTTAGGTATAGATCGGCTTTAATTCTCTGTCCGCTCAAGGCTGAACAGAAACCAGAATACATTACAATAACACGTGATGTCACGTTCACGCTAACTAATAAATTGAAAGTGGTATATCCGGGCGTAAGGATTTATAATATAACAAAATGTTACCCAGCATTACACCCCAACTTTGGCGACAAGCAGCAAATACTGGAGAACATAGAAACATCATCAGCCATTGAAGATAAACATTTTGTCTTCTATATACAGACAGTCAACATTGATGTAGAAACACTGCTTGGTAAATATGAAGAAATTGGAGTAGTCAATGTGTATAAATGGCAACTTCCGGTGGATTCGCACGACATACATTACTATGGACAGTTAGCCTGTATTCATGATTGTTTATATAGGTATCTGAATTCATCAAGGTGGATTTTATTTGCGGATTTGGATGAAATTGTTGTTCCTATTTTGACGAAAATCTTTCCAAACCCAGTATCAGACGTCATCTTTCGTCAAGGAAATATTTCGACAAACTGCCGATCTTTTATGTTCCTGAATGCCTTCATACCTACTTTTTTTCCCGATACAAATTTAGTGTTTCCCTGGAAGGCTGTGGCCAAATCTATAGGACTCAAATATATTTTGAAAACCAAACGTGGTGCGATCCTGGGATCTGGACAAAGATCAAAGGTCTTGGTCAATCCCAGAGGTGTAGAAATTATGTCGATTCATGTGGTATCAGTATTTCGTTACAATTATACCGGATGTGTCATTCCGCCTACTAAAGCATTGCTGCACCATTACCGTTCATCGGATCCAAACGATTTGACATTACGTGGCCCTTTCAAAGAAATACTGGACTTGCAATTGTTTGCTGACCTTATAATATCAAAATATTTAAAAGCCAAGAAAAAGTACTAATTGGGAGGGTGGGGTGGGGATGCCCTACAGAAAGCGTACATGCGTACGTAGGAGACAATTTGACCATGGTTTATTATGATTAACGCGCATCTGCATTGCCATGCCACAGACATGGACATAATAGATTCCAATCAGGATCTATAGTGGGCTCAGCTGAATCTGACATAATGTACCAAATCATTTCTAAATTCCATCAAAGAAAACACTTAATAAATTTTAATTCCCGTTTATTAACAGATTGTAGGGATAATACATGGTTGAATACAAAATGTTTGAATATACAATATTTACAAACATGATAAAATACATCAGTTGGTGCAAAACCACAACACCCCATAATTACATGCATGAATTAAAGTTTTGACAATTGACAAATTGTTCTATTGCTTTATAATTTAATAAAATTAATGTTTGAAATTACGCGCAAAATTGGTTACATTAACCATTGATCATTAGCTGTACATAATTACTTCAAAAGGTGAATCTGTGAACACAATAATATATACCTGCTCTTCCTGAGCATTTGGAGTAAATATCAGTTTCATATATCCTTAAATTTCCAATCGATAATATAAATTTTAAAATATATGAAAACAAAAAGTGGTGATTTTTTTTCAAATTAAAAAATGAGTAAAATGCAATTGAGAGAAGATATATCATGATCATAGGGCCTGGGCTATTAAAGTCTACTACAAAAGCTAGAGATGTTTACAGATTAGTAGGTCTGGCATTATTAGGTCTATTTGGGTGGGGGGGGGGGGGTTATTAAAATATTTCAAAAGTCTGTAAAGCATAAACAGTTTCAGTTACATATCAAGTAACTAACATGATCTAGTTGTGTAATCATGTGGGAATGGCGAAAATTGTCTAAATATCGATATGACAGAAGCGTATAATTTACACCCACCAGCAGCTTTGTTAACGGAAACAAGAATGTCATTGCCTGATTCAAATGAGCAATCAATCAATTTCAGAAGAATTGATGTTAAGACTATTTATAAGATTCGGTGACAGGGGCAATTACTCTGCGAAAATTGATCCATTACTTTGCTCTTCCCTAGAGTCTCTCCATATTCACTGGAAAACTCTTAAAAATAAATTCGCTGACTTATTAAGCGTTTACTCGACTGCGGGGACAAGGTTTTGGTATGTCGAGCGACACTGAATTTAGATAGGGGTCATCCTGACTAGCCAAACGGTTCCAGCAAGTTTGAAAACAAATTTTAAGAACTCTGACCTGTAAGGTGATTAAAGCTTTTAAATAACAGAGGCAATAAACCCTCCACAAACAAATTGCACGAATCTTAATTATACCGTAGGACTAGCCAAACAAAACCTACAAGTTCGAAAAACACTGCTGTGCTTAGTGTTTACAAGAATTACGAAAAGCCATAAGAGCGGACCAACACACAGAGGTGACAGCAATCAATAAGTGTGAAAGTACGAGACCATAAGTTTCGGTAGGAGGGGGGGGGGGGAGGGGTATGGTTTCTTTTTAAATAAGACCCAAAATGACAGCTAGGTTTTACACCCTTTTCACAGTCTTGAAATTTAAAAAAAAGAGATTATGCTATAAACAAATAACTATGAAAAGGGGTGTATTCCCTTTTTTTAAAATCTTAGTTTTTGTCAACTATTTCTGGCTTTTGTACTAAGCTATACTAATCCAATATTTGTACAAATGAACAGCGAATATAAAAGAGTATAAAACATTATAAATAATAATACTAAAACGAGATAATCTATATATACACCGTTTTCCCGTACAATGTTTTTTGTTTAAATTCATTATCCTCAGTCACCCTTGATTTTTTTTTTATCCAGCATTGGTTCTTGATTGAAACTTACACGGGGACTTCCTTATTTATATCACCTTGTGAAGTTCCGGTATATGCGGAAAGGGGAGATGACTGTAGTAATTGTGTTGTGTGTTATTACGTCATATTTACAGACGTTTGTCCAGGACATAAAGTTTCATTGTTATCACATCTGTGAGCACCTGTTATTTGCTGTTTATGACGTAATAGATTATAATAATAAACATCAATTCTTGTCTACGTTGAACAGGAGTTTGCTCCAGGCCAATCACATATTTTCAAGTTATCATTCCATACCGTACCATGACCACATGTATGATGGAAGGAAACAAACCAAACACACTGATAGAATCGGTGACAATCATCATCATCAGCAAATATACCAAATACAGTTGGACACTGGAAATCTGAAATGTAACAAAGATACACGTGTTAGTTCCTAAACAAATACCGAACATCAGCTGTGCGACAAATCAAAGGAGTGAAAGATAAACACGATTTTTTTAAAATTCCACCCAAAATCAAAACCAGTTTGGTGATAAAAAAAAGGATAAAAAAAAAAAATAAATAAATGGACAAGTGCAAACCATCGATCCTTTTTGGGGATTCAACAAAGGATTGTAACTAAACCCAAATAACTAAAATGTTAACGAATTCAAACTTTTTATAGATAAAACCAGCGAAAATTATTTTTATAGACCTATTTGGAAGTTAAAAGTGAACACACACGAACCTACCTTCAACAAATATACTTCATAAAACAAAACAAAAAAAAAATTAAAAGAATAAAAAATATATAGAATATATATTATCCACCGATATATTGGTGCAAAAAATCTAAACTAAACCGGAAAGAGGTTAACTCACAAACCTCGCTCAAAAACAAAAACTGATTTAAAAAAAAGGAAAAATCGAAAAACGACATCAACCCATCACCACCACGGCACACTATAAAACTTACCCTGTTCCTGCTACAATGTAGAAGCGGTCCTTAACCAAAGCCACAACCATGCCTAGTAATTTAGCTTACAACCTGATGAGTAGAGAGTTTAATCATAGTCTGCCCTCAACATTTTTTAAAAAAAAATTTAGTACAGATTTGCTCATTTAAGAGGATATCGGTTCCACATAATCCGAATGTTTCTTAATACTTTAGTAGTAAATGGAAAATGCTACATTCCTCTTAAATGCACAATCCCCGTAAACTAAATTTTTAAATAAATAGAATAAACACGAGAACGGACTATTTTCTCTCCAGGTGTTCTATATATTTGACCTATAACCTCTTTAGTTCAAAATACTACCTGTATTCAGCCGCCATATCTACCATTCGCTGTTCATTCCGAATCGCATGCTGCAAACCCATCACGATCTTGTTACAATTCCACAGCCCCTCCTTCTCCGTTTTCACAGACGTTGACGCAAACGTAGATGTTTACAGAGCCTCACTATATATTTACTATAAATGTTTCCAATTATTTTTAACAAATTCTCATGTTCTCGACAAAATATTTGTCATTTTCCACGTAAAATTCGATAAAAAAAAATGATATTATTGTTAAGGACAATTTCATTTTTAAACATTAGATTTGATTCTTTATTTTTTTTTCTACCATATCTAAATCGATATGGATGTTAATTTGGTATAAAAATAGACGAAGTGAGAATTTGTTGTACAACATGCAATTGAAACGGGAAGGATTACTTTGTATAAAACTGAAGTATGGATTTGGTTATAAAATCTGGTGTTTGATTTGTACCCGGGGATCACAACACTCGACCAATAATGGTGTTGTCCCTAACTCCTAAAATGTTATCATTGTTTCTAAAGCAATGGCTATATCGGACCATATTGAATAGAAATAATCATTGGTGTATGATTTTGTATTGACAATTTAGAAGTAGAAGGTTTGATCCGATTGCTTAAATTTTAACCACTGAGGCAGTCTAAAAAAGGGTTCAATTTAGTTCAGTGTTTACGAAGATATAAACAAGCCAACATCGACATTAAGTTTGGTAAAATTCACGACGCGAGATTATCTACGGCTGATTATTTTTAAAAAATGTTTAGTAATCAATCGGAATTCATTATAGCTGGATCAAGCCATCAAAAATAAGATATTGGCAGAGAAGTGCACGATCGGTATCTGGGAGTTCAAAGTTTTGTTGTAAACATACCCTGTCGGCGTTTGACTATGTCTCAGTGGCAGATAAATCCAAATAATTAAATTGACACACCAGAACTTACCAAATTCACACTTTTATGTTTCATTAAAATCAAAAAGGTCCTTCCCTTCGTAGCGTTACATAAACGAGCTTATCAATGTGATCAGGAGGGGAACCTTGGGTATTTATCATTTACTTGGTCAAAATAAAAATAATATCTTTTAAAGATGCATAATGTAAGAACTAAATCTGCTTATTGTGGGTCAGTTTTCAGTTTTCAAATGTTATATAAATTATTATTTAGACATGTATTTATGTGACGAGCTCATAATCCCCTCTCTAGTCATCCGGTGGTTGAGATATTGAATGCATTAGACCATAATCGGTTAACGTTAAAATGGACAACCCAGACAATGGTACTTGACAATCAAGACTATTTAGGCTAAATCTTGTCATAACTTCAAACATTCATAACTTCGCTCATAATAAAGTAATTTGACTGAAATTTTCAATATATTCATTATTTATTATTCAGTCTTTAAATATTATAGCAAGAACGGTCAGGTATGTATCTAAATTTTACATTATGCATCTTTAATAAAAGTGAGTAGTAAAATTTTGACCAAGCCAGTGACTCTTTTCAACAGTTACCTTTATTACTATACCCCAAGCAGAATTCCATTAAGGGGCAATATCGAAGCAGATATCTATGGAATACCCAAAAAGACATGGAAAGGGAAAGGGTACCATCAAACAGCTCAAGCCCTCTAAGTATACCTATATTGAAACATTGAGTTCATTGTTTTTTGGCAGTACTGGAACTCACCTTATGACCAGCCCGTTTTAAGCACATATTTTGTTTTGTTTTGATAATGAACATTATTGACTTTCACGATTCAATCACAATTATCATGCATTGGTTGACTGAAGTTGTAAATTTAAGAACCTTCGAAGGGACATTTTATGCATGGAAACAATGTGATTATTTTTTGAAAATGATTGTTTAAGAACCACTTGAATCTCATTGCACTGAAATTCTTGTTGGTATAAGCCTATTATTGGTTTGGTTTTATTCAGTAAAATATCCCTTCAATGTGTAATTCTACAACTTCAAAATTAGTTCATTTTAACGATAGATGAAGGTAATCAAACTGGCACAAGCCTTGTGCGATTCCGGGCGATAATCAATCTGTTTATTGTTACTTTTTTATATTCTGGCGCTAATAATTCATTAATGTCGCCTCGGCATCTCAATAATAACTTTGCTTTTTTATTATGCGATGCTCGTTAAAAACATATGGCCATCTTTTTTTCAATATGTTACCCTTCCTCCATCTATCCTTAATGTTATTTGAATTAGAATTAAGTATCACACAGGTAAGTATTGCACGTGCTTTAAACATGCAAATTAAGTGTCGTTTTTTTTAAAGTAATTCACAAAGATACCAAGTGCTCTTGAAATCTAAACATCAACTTAGCCAAGAAAACTACTTCAAACTCAGAAAACATATTCCAGACCTAGGATTAATTTTCCCAGAAAAACTTCTAACATGACCAAAAATAAGTATGATGGATCATTCCGTCCAGCTTTTATTTCATGCACGAGTTTTTCACACACTTTTAAGTTATTGTAGAAAATAGAATAATAATAAGATCAAAAGAAAAAATAAAGCACACTCAAAAAATAAAATCTAAAAAAATAAATAAATATCTAGAACAAACTTGTATTAAGGTTTTGCCTTTCCTCTTAGTTTTTACCCAGTAGCGCAACTGAAACCAAAGTCCTCACACTTTTTAATGGGAGATGCTTATCCATAAATATCTCCAAATTAAAAAAAACGTCATCAAAAATCAAAGGCCCCCGAAAAAACACTATACTATTATGCATCTATTACTCAAATAAGCAAAACCCCAAATTAGTTTTGAAGGTAAATATTCATGACGGGGTTTTCTTGCTGTAATAAATAAAAACTTGGTTAATGTTGTTTTACAAATCTGGAATAAAACAATTTAGTTAACGAAGTATAAACAATGTGATATAAATAAAATGTAGTTCATTGTTTTTTGGTTTTTTTTAGAATGATTTCCAATAAAATGCTTTGATTGCGTCTAGCATAATGCGGTTATTATATACATAATTTATTTGGTGGGGGGGGGGGAAACAAATTTTAAATTGTGGAATCATTTCAAGTGATGGAATATAAATAATGTAAATAATCCAAAAATATAAATAGTAAATTCTCAAGAAATATAAATAACAAATATCAGTCATCTCAAGGCTGAATATAAATAATCCTCTCAGCTGCAAAAATAAAAAAATATCAGTCGTCATCACATTGCTAAAATATAAATATTAAATAATACTCTAGGCTGTAAGTATAAAAAAAAATATCAGTCATCTCAAGGCTGAAATGTCAATAGTAAATAATCCTCTCAGCTGTAAAATATAAATGATTAAAAATTATATTCCATTCCTTGACTCTGAAATAAACAATAATTATTTCTCTCATCTCTACAAATAAATAATTGATAATTCTATCTGGTGTTAAATACAATAATTAATAATCATCTCAGCTCAGGGACATAATAATTAATAATCCTATGATTTCATAATTAATAATCCACTCAGCTATAAAAGTAAAATATATATAGACTTAATCCCAAAATAATTAGATGCCCATTATTAATTACTTGCACATTTATCTTTTTATTGTGCTTACCCTAAGAAATCGATAAATGTCTAACTTAGTCAAGCTAGGGCTTATTGATTTAATGAAACTATACACCAAGTTTAATCACTTTCGTGAACTTTCAGAGTTGTTGACAGACCGACGTACGAACTCATTTTAATAGTCCCCCACTTTCTTCGAAAGCCGGGAAAAGTTAATAACAACCTTTGGCTCTGAAATAAAATAATTGATAATTCAATCAGATATAGAAAATTAATAAAAAAAACAACTCTAAAGTAATACACGATTCTCTGGAATCCTAAATTCAAAATAGATGGAAAAGAATTAATCGGCAAAATAATTTCTCTGATTAAATATCTATTTGGAAGAAAAGGCCAGATAGTTATATTGTACCCCCTTTGTTTATTGTCATGAACATTTAATAGGGTACTAAGGTTTGATATATTTCTGCGTTGGGATCGCAAGGACAGAATTATAAAATATCTACTTCGTAATTTTTAAACCAATATGGCAATTTACTTTGGTTACTGCTGAAATAAGAGACATATTATGATTAGCGTAGATTAAAATCATGGTAATTTTTTTAGAGCAATGTCAATTCTTAATATAATAAATTTGAGGAAAAACCTATGGTGGTCATGAAAATAGTAAATATATCGATATAGCGAGATCCCCATAATATTAGATGCACATTCAGATGGTCTATACAAAATGTAACGGCATGGCAGACTGTCAAGAATGGACGTTTCAGAAAGTCTTAACCAATTTGTTTCCCTCAGTGAAAGTTCACAGAGAATCTTAAATAAACGAAAAAATATTGAGATATTATAATACAATTTATACCCAAGTATCGAATGTTGTCTTAACCAGAGATATCTGTGCAATAACTGTACTCTTAGTCCAATTTGGAAATACACGTTTAAAAGGCCTTTCTTGCACTTCGGATCAATCTGATCAAAGTTAGATTAGTTTCGGTTACTTTATCTAGGTCTTACAAGATCAAACAAATGAAATGAATCTGTCATTCATGGGTTTCTAGTGAGAGCAGTTATGACATTCACACATTCATCGATAGACCGTTTAAACTTGACAAAAATCAGCGTTAATCAAAGGGAAGATTTTGCATGTCAATCGCACTGCTCGTTTCCAAGTCAAAATAGGACCATCAGATCTGTGCATCCAATATCAAGGCAATTTGATTAAGTCATACCTCTTTCTCGTAGTAGTGTATTTGTGTTTTGTCTGGCTATCACTTGAGGTGCTTCTACTTCATAATTTACATCAGTTCTTAATCTTATATTATTAATTTTACTTGATTTAAATTGGTCATCTATTTTATATAAAGCTGTCTCCAATGGTATCTTCGTCTTCGTAGGTATCATCGTCGATGGTTTGAAATTCTGCGTAGATGCTAATGATTTTATTATTTTCCACTTATTTTGTATTTTTGGTGGCTTGAAAAATTGTGAAGGTCTTGTATATTGAGAATGTGGAGGTCTTGAAAATCGGCTTTTTAATTTCAAACGTAATTTCTGCAATTTCTTTTCGTTGTTCCTCCTCTTCGGCAGGTCCCATGGCATGGTTATAGGTGATTTGGTGGTGTGGAATACGTATTGGTAAATCTTTTCATTGCCCTTTCTAATGATGATATCACCCTCTGTCATTGGCGTCTGTGTGCCCTTTTCCTTTACAGTCATCAATCGATAAATCATTGGTGGCGATTGTGTGAGTACTTTTTTGCTTAACCTTGGTATCTTCAGTAAACCAAATCTAGGATCCTTTTCTACAGGATGTCCAATTTCAGTATATGCAAATTTATTTAATGGATTGGTAAACGGTTTGTAGTCTTTCGTAGTTCCTTTTTTGTCCTTTACATCATTAGCAATAAATCCTAAGTTCATATCTTTCAAACTGTTTCCTTTCAGAGACGTTACTCCAACTTTATGATCAAGTACGTTAATGTGAAATCCGGGAATATTCGAAGTAGATGAAGTACCGATTGGGGTTGTTACCATAGGTGTCCAGCTGACTGCTTGAAAACTGGGAGTTACGACAGTGATTTTTGGGGGAACAGAGGTTGAATTCTTGGTTTTCATTTCTTGTGTAGTTTTGTTTCTTGAATTGAGATTCCTTGCAAGTACTTCTATTGGGATGGTAACGGTTGTCGTTGGTCTACTAGAATACGTAGTTGGTGGGGACCAAGATCGCGTGGTATTTCCGATTGTAGTACCAGAGGATTTCAGTGTCGCCACTGTTACCCGACTCGTAGAAGCCGTTGATTTGGTAGTAATTTTGGCAGGTCTTTTTGTGATCTTTGGTCGGTTTCCCATTGTTTTATGTCGCCTTAGGGTAATGTAGCCCATTCTACTGCCAGTTGTTCTACGCGGAATCGTTGCATCATATTTGGGTGTCGTTGTATCACTCTTTTGCCGTTTCGTTGTCCAGTACTTCTTGCTTTTCTTGTATTTGGCCTGCATGTCTTGGAAAATACCCACAGCAAAGTTATTCGTCATCGGGGTTCTTGTTTGTGTCATTATTTGTAATGTTGGTGTCGAGGAATTCATTTCAATTGAAGAAGTTGGTGAATCTTTGGAGGGTATTAATTGAGACCGAACATTGCCTTCATCCGGTTTAACTGTAGAGGTTTTTAAATGTTTGCTAGGTGTCACCCACTTCTTAAGTTTGGTGCTAGATATCGTCGTTACTTTAGTTGTTTCAAGTGGCGTTAGAATCTTTCTAGAATCAAATTCTGGTCCGACGGTTTTCATTACAGATTTGCTAGAAACCTTTATTGCTTGTTCAGTTTTATTCAGTTTGTATTTGTCAGGTTGCTGCCTAGCTTGATAATCTTTCTTAGAGAAAGGAGAACGACTTTCTTTTTTCATGTTTGTATTAAATTTTGATGGTGCAGCATTCTTGGTTGTAATTGTTCCTGGTGTTGTTGTTTTTATGGATGGGTTCTTAGCACTGACCGTGGTATTTCTAGATGATGGTCTCTTTCGAGTGGACATGTGCATTTGCGGTATATGTGAATCTGTATATGTTGTTCGTGTTCGTGGGGTAGTCGAAACAATTGTTGATTCCCTTTTCAGAGTCCATTTGATGTTTGGTTTATGAATAAATGGAAATAGAATTTCGGATTTCATCTTTTTCGGTTCTCGTGATGGGAATAATAGTTTCTTTTTGTATGATTTGAAAACATTCTTAAAGCGCTTCTGGGTTGTTGAAGGGTTTGGTACGATGCCACGATTCTTGTTTGTTGTGGTAAGAACGGGTGCTTGAGTGGCCTTACTGATCCTTGGTGTTGCATCAGCAATACTAGATGATCCAAACGGCAGCGTGGTTTTGTCTGTGACGATTGATGAAGATGCCAATAACGTGGTTTTTATTCTAGGTGATGATACTAAACTTGATTCAGCCTGGTCATCTTTTGGCGAGGGATTAGTTATGGTCGCTCTTGTTGATGCCTCTTGGGTTGATGGCGTTGTGCTGGTTGATCTGTACTTGGCCACAGCATCTTTTGTGATCTTGATTGATGGGTCTGTTTTCATTGTCTGCCATAAATATCGTCTGGTGGGACTGACGGTGTATCTGGGGGCTGCTGTTATTCGTTGGGTTGTCCTTGATTTTGGCACTGCTACTTTCTGTGATGGAGTAGTTGTAACGGTTGTGGTTTTAGTAGTTGACTTGGATGTTGTATATTTGCTAGTCATCTTGGGTGTTGTATATTTTCTAGTTGCGGTTGTTCTCCAAGAAGATGGTGCTGTTTTGGTTTTGTCTGTACCGGTGCTCTCTGACGGTTTCGTGGTTGTTGACATAGAGGTCGACGATACACGAATATGAGTAATTGCCGTAAATTTAGGAGCGTTTGTACTTATATCTGGTCTGGAAGGGGTCGTGTCCAGAACATTATCTGTATCATGAACGGTGTGGACAAGAATGGATGGATGGGTTACAATTCCGTCACCAACTTTATTTTCTTTAAATGTTGATGAGGTTATTTCCTTATCTTTTTTCTTGTCTTTTGGTTTGTATGGTTTACTTTTCGCGGAAACAATTTTATTTTTTCGCAGTCTTCGGCGCTGCGTTGGTTTATGCTAAAAGAAAAAGGGGGACAATTGTACAAATAAGCACGAAAATAATTATTACAGCCATAAATTTCAATCAAACAAATATACGTAGTTGCATTTATATTCAATGTTATGTGTGATACTTTATACGTTTGGACACTAGCTGTTACGTAATTATCCGAATATAACAAATTACATTTAATCGTTTTGATATCAATGTAGATATTATATGCTCACCGTTTTGGGCTTAGGGGGTGGATTGAAATCCGGAAATCGGACGTTGCCTTCAAGGGTTGACCTTATGGCTCGACATAATGGGTACACTTCACCCTGTAGAGCAGCGAAATCATCTAAATCAACAGCCCAAACCATAGCACCAGCCAACTGCTTCTTTTTAATGTATTCGGTCTTAAAACACAAAAAAACTCGTTTATAGGTTGATATATGAACAATGATTTTCAAAAAGCATACACGAATTTGTTATGGAAAATATAAAAATAGTATTTCTAATCCTAAGTAAGTGCAAAATCTATTTGATTAAGAATTACATTGTTTCGTAATAACTATAACCACTTTTGCAAATTTGCAAATACTTATATAACAATTCGTGACCATGTATTTAGAAAACAAATACGTCATAATACCTTAATTATAACACTCTCTACGTCATCATAGCCAACCCACTGTTTCTCCTGGATGTTATAGGCTATGGGTACTTGTTGGTCATCCAGCCATTTCCTAGTCCAGCCTTGCTTAAGTTTCTCTTTAACCTATTAACACAAAAGCCCAAGATTTTAGAAATATATACTAATACTTATATAATCACGATGAATAAGGGAGAAAGTGAGCTATGAGTAAGTATTGTTCTGTAATATTGGAAAAATATATGGTTACTCCTATTGTACATTTAGCCTTTAAATGTTTTCTTAGTAATAATAATCACGTGGCATTCTCTCTGGTCAGCTCACAGAAAAACAGTTGAACAATCTAATCAAGGGCACTGCAAGAATAACAGACATGACCATTGCAATGAGGAACTGGTAGATTGTCGTTGGCTGTCTATGACTATTTAAGCGCCAATAACCATAGTCCATATAAATTATCATACGTCACAGAAATTGTCTCGCGCAAAACCTTACTTGTGTCACCTTCACATGAACGACCCATTAATCTAGGAATAAAGTCTATGTGCAATATTCGAAGAGAAAAAAGAAGTCATTTCCAAGCTGGTGTACCAGATAAATAGATGTCTACACTAACACCAAATCTTACCTCGTAATAAGCCATGAATCCCTTTTCTCTGGTATAAGGCGCCGGTTTGCCCACACCGCAATTTTTATCACCAACGTTTATTTTTTCGCCATCACAGAGGGTAAATGATCTACCATATAGGGGAATCCCCATCACCAACTTAGACGGATCTGCTCCTAAATCTAACCAGAGTTGTACGACACCATCCTGCAATATAAACGCATTAATCCTTATATGTACTAAGCAAGTTGAAACTACTTTACAATCATATTTTACAAGTAAGTATCGCTCTATATATTATACATTCATTGTCAGGCCTGAAACAGTTATTCTGTTTTGATCTTTTGTAACTTCTTCCTTGGTTTGTAAAGTTTCGATAAAACAAACATAGTGAAATAAAAGCAGAATACATTATGTTAGGATATTAACTCCGTAAATGATGGCATAGTTTGTGAATGCTAGACGATAACCTGAGGACCACCATGGGTACCTCAACTGATAACTGGTTTTATATTAACAGTAATCATACCCTGTTCCCTGCCCACTACACGTTAGTTGCTATTTAACAACGTGAAAGGTACCTTACGTCGCGTATTATTCCAATACTTACCACACTGTCCGAAGGTTTGGGTTTACCATCTATGTTACTTGACGGATAAAGACCAGCATTAGTACCAATAATTTTACTCCAACCACCATTTAAATCATAACTCATCAAATTTATGAAATCCAAATATCTGCAACAAAAAGAAACAATAAGAGTAAAGATCTAACAAATTAGTAATATTAAGAAAACCAGGGTATTTACTGCAAAGTGATGACTTACTTGGATATCGTTGGTACTTCGTAGGCTGATTCCACAATTTTCTCACCACCTCCAACAGCGGCTGTCAACAGTAATCTCTCTTTACCAGTACGTTCTGATTCTTGATCAAAAGCTTGTCTAAGTTCCTGAAAATCAAAGCGGGGTGTGTTATGCATCAATATAATGGCAGGTGGAAGTTGTAGCTGAAAAAAATAATTTTAGCGAATGATAAAACATCTGCACAGTCCCATTATCCATACTACTGGGTGTTAAAATGGATACCAGCAGCCAGTAAGTGGAGCATAACGGATACATGATGGATATTAGATGTATATGAATCAAATTGTTTCTGGTCACCTATGGTTATTTTACTTACTTTTACTAGCAGTGAAAATCTCTGCTTGTCCTCCACGGGACTTCCTCTATTTGCTGGGTATTCCCAATCTAGGTCTAAGCCGTCAAAATTATGAGTTCTGAGATATTGGACGGAATGATCTATAAACGACTGTCGGCCTTCGTCTGTTTTCACCATATCCGTGAAAGGTTTAGATCCGTGAGTCCAACCACCAACAGCTAGTAAAGTTCTAAGTACGGGATTCTTCTTCTTTAAACCGTTGAATTGTCGGTACAAATCTGAAATTAGAAAGTTTCATTAATAATTACATTATTAACAGCAAGGCAGACTAATTTCAATCAGGCTCATAAATATATTATTCTTTTATTCATCTATAACCTCCCCACTATTACTACCGATAGGTTTGCAATCTCAGACCTGGGTAAAATGCGTGCTTTATCCCCAGTACCATAAGACAAGCTCACTGAAGGAGTCGCTCTGGATTCCCCCGGTAGTATTATTAGGAACAGTATTTGTAATGAATAGGTGTATGTTTGTTTTGTTCTACAACATGAACATTTTCTGGATCTTCAATACAACGAAGCAATAAATAAAGTAACTCTTCAGAGAACTTACGTGGATATTGTATATCGTTCCATTCATAAGGAGCTAAATGTCCATTGTAATCTATCTTGGAGAATGAGAAGATTAAATGTGTACACAGGAAAGGGTCAATGTTAAAGGGTAAAAATCTGGAAGGTTGTTTTCTATACTGTGACCAGTTGGTATAATAGCACACGCGTTTATAACTTGGTTCTGGAACAAAAGTACATAAAATAGTGTTATCATCAGACATGAACTAATATAAATCATTAGAAATGTTCTACAGAAATAAGTCTTTTTTTTCCTTACGCAGATCTTAAGCTTTAATATTAAGCAAGGGTATTTAGTCAGTGTAATTGGGGTACAGATAAAGAAGCAGCGAGGGGAAGGGAGAGCTTGGGCTGTTTGTCAGATTTAAAGACAGATAGGCTACACATTCACATGCCTAATCATGAAAAACAGCCAGGAAAGGAGAGATCAATTAATCGACGTAAAATATGTTGTCCGTCAGATAAATTCTGTCAAAAACCTAAAAATTCTTTAAGCAGACTTCTTTACTGGTGAAATTGATTTTCGGCCATTATAGCTAAATTTTAACGTGAATACTCAAACACGAGGGGGATGTCAACTTTTATTGACAGTTGACTAAACATTGTTAATCAATGTTCCCATGTTTATATTTGATGTCAAAGATTTAAACCTGTCAAAAACATGTATTCACACTTTTCTGGTGTAACCAATGTCGGATCATTTGTCGAACAATAAAAAATGTACATAGGGTCATTGATTATTTAAATGTTCATAAAGTATAATCTAACGCCTATAAGTTAGCTACTCTGAAGTAACTCTGCTAGGGCCTTTAACTTCGCAGCATTTATTCTCCGATAACATCTAGCGATAGGCGCGTTTCATACTCCCAGCCTAGGACATGACTAAATCGTTTCTCCTATTTTTATTTTCTTTGTACTGATATCCATTGAACAATGAATGGTAAGCTATATTAGGTCAAATAATAATACCTGATAACACATTTGTCATACAGGATATGTGTTCATAGTTAGTGTCAGCAATAATCGAACTGAATCTCTTACCTTGTATGTCAATGCAGGATAATAAAACAGACATAACAAACATTCGAGGAATCGGTATGGCATAGAGATATTGCAATAAGATAAACATTGACAAAGAAAACATCCGTAATTACAAAACATTCAGATTGTTTGGAGAGATGTTACTCTTTGCTCTTGCCATACGTCTTACTTTTCTGTGCAAATCGAGCTAATAGACAGGGGCCTGGAGAAGGGGGAAGGGGGGAGGGGGGCAAGTTAGCTGAAAAGCGTACCAATTTCCACCTATATGGTATCAATGCATGCATGTCTGGTATCATCAGAATGTAAGTATGTCGGTATCTGGCAGTGGTTGTGGCTGTGAGGGCTGGGATTCTGGGCACGAATTCTCGAGCTAGATTAGCTCGAAAGTGTATCACACGAAATGGTACAGCATGGTACAAAAACACTCAGACACAGACATTTCTAGTGGTGGGGTACCCCTGGCAGAGTTATGCAATATTGCCAGGCCACAGCTAGGCTAGATTTGCCGAAATCTAAAACTGCTCGGAATCAAGCATGATCACTGCCAAACAGTTTGTGTGGAGACTTACCCCGACCAAAATACTACGCCCCCCCCCCCCCCAACGAGGCTAGAATAGTCTGTACCGCATAAAATTGCGTTGAAGTTGTCCAGCACCAATACAAGGATCATGAATTACCACTGCCAGATAGATTGTGCGGTGGAGTACCCCTGACAGAAGGGTCCAAAATGCTCCGCCCCGCAACTAGGCTACATTAGCTGAAGTCTGTACGACCTTAAACTGCTTGGAAGTTGTTCAGCAGCACAACGGGAATCATGAATGACTACTACAAAACAGTTTATGCGGTGGTGTACCCCTGACAGACACGCCCAAAATACCACCCTGGCACCATTGAGAAAATTTAAATATTCAAGATGGCCGACATGAGATATTTCTTGTTATTTACTTTAATTTAGTGGGGTAAAATTCGGAATTAAAACCGACACATTCAGGAGGAATACCCAAGGTTATTGGATTCGGTGGGTCGAATTCTTATAGAAACCATCCTAAAACCGAGGTCCGGGAGAATCTATCACATATTTTACCCCTCTAAATAACAAGAAAATGCCTCAGGGCGGCCATCTTGCATATTTTAACTTCCCCAAGGATGCCAGAGTGGCATCATCCAGATTCTGAATCTACACATAGTGAAGATATATAATCCATCAAAAACATTAGGTGGGCCTTATTTTCAGGTTTGTCGACCTGATGTCGGACTAGGTAGATAGTCTTAGCCAGCCATACTGCAGTGCTTGGGCAACCGATACTGATGACTAATAAAACACGACCGATTAATTATTCTTCACACGATTACATAATGTTTAATTGACATTTCATACTCCTCAAAATATGTAATACCCCTAATTTCTCAATAAGGCTGACCTAGCTGAAAAAGCCTAATTATTGGGACGTGGGGGGGGGGGGGGTATCGTGTGATCCCTGGGGTGCTGAACAATTTCCAAGCAGTTTTAGGTGGTACACACTTCAGCTAATCTACCCTAGTTTGGGGACATTTTGAGCGTGTCTGTCAGGGGTACACCACCGCACAAACTTTTATATAAACAAGCAGTTTTAAGCGATACGTACTTCCGCTAATCTAGCCATATTGCGGGCGTGGCATATTGGGTATGTCTGTTAGGGGTAACCCACCGCACAAACTGCCTGGCAGTGGTACATATTTAAGCTAATCTAGCTAGCTGTGGTCTGGCAATTACATAAATCTACCGAGGGTACCCCACCACTAGATATGTCTGTCGGAGTGTTTTTGTAATACTTAAAGATGTAAGGTATACTGCTATACCATTTTCATATGGTACACTTTTGAGCTAATCTAGCCCAATAACTCATGCCCAGAATCCCAGCCAGATACTTGGCAGACTTACATTCTGATGATACCAGATATGCATGCATTGATACCATATAGGTGAAAATTGGTACACTTTTCAGCTAGGCTGACACCCCACCCCCACCCCCTGGGTTCCCAGTCTATAATGAAGACGGGCTTAGAAGACAATTGTGCCGGACAACGGCGTCGATTTAAAATTATCAGGTGTCCTTGAACGCGCTCCTTATTGTATATACTGGGCCCCGGCTTTTGTTCCTCTGGGTTAGTATGCCAAGGATATCGATCCATCGTGGTTCCGCTTGGAATACGGACATTTATTTTAGAAATTACGCTTCAATGATTTGGAACAGAGCACCAGACAAGATATTACCACATCGAAAATATACAGTTCCTTCCTTTCTAATAATAACTCATTCCTCGCGCAACATCTAGACAACACACAACATTATTATTATGCTTACCCTCTAATTACAGTTAGCGTCGTTACGTCACATATAAGCTTAGACACGTTACATTACATATATATCTAGCGTCGGCGCGGTACCTTTCAGTTACAGATAGCGTCAGATATTTACAAGACACATCAGCCCATCCATCCCAAAGTTTAGCAGCAGATTACCAATAGCGCCATTAGCATTTCATAATTTATAACATAGAAATTGAAATGCAATAGATGGGAGGTGGAAAAACACCACAACCACAATCCCTACAAGCTAATGTATCTCTTATAACCGCAAGGTTCCTATCGACCTATTAGTAGTATGCCTAATTTAAATTCTAAATTAGAAATTTATACAATTTCTAACGTTCAACGTTTCATGACCACACTTCAAATAAAAGTAGTTACTCACCTGAATCTGTCCAACGGTTCCTGATACATAGTCCATGAGTTTTATCGAGAATTTGAAAAACTCAAAATTTGAGTAATAACTCTGATACTGACCCATGACACTTTTTTAAATATGTCTAATCATAAATAAGACTATGTGTATTATGCGTATTAATAATGATCATTTTTTATTTGGCTTTGCAGAAAACAATGTTGTGTTCTCGCGCCATGATTGCTTTAGATGATTTTATTGTATTTTAACGACGACAGAATGATGTTCTCAATTTGGACAATAAATGATATGTATCCGTACTCTGTGGTGAACGTTGAAATAGATTTAATGTAAAAAAATTACCTATGGTATCATTGTCCAATTGTAGTTGTTTAGTTATGGTACCGGATTGGACTGATAAAATTAACAGGAAGAGGCAGAAATAAAATAGCCTCAACTCCATTACCTGAAAAATACGAAATAAACTGAACGTAATATATAAAAATATTTCACAGGACATTGTATATCATAATACTTACTATCCATGTTTAGTTTCTAAAACATTCTTCGAGCTGAAAACCCGTTATCCATTCTGTACATGTTTTAATATGTCAATATCATTTACATAATTTATGAATAACAACGCACCTAATGTTGATCCTTGGGGAAAATCAAGATATTTAAATATTCGTATAACTTTCTTATCAAGTTATAAAATGCAAGATTTTACTAAATTTGGAAAAGGTTATTATTCCAAATCATCAAAACTTTTTGTTCAACTTAATATTTTGTCATCGCAAAGCAAATGCGTGTTGTTATCTTACTAACAAAAAGTAACATCTTTCAAAAAAGAACTGGTTGGTCAAGCCCTGACCATAAAATATGTCGAACAAACCATATAACACGGAGTATTTGTATGATAAGAAAATATTTTTATTGACCAAAGACAATGATCAAACCAAAAGCTAACATCAAGATGAAGAAACAATGGCATATGACGTGTATGGCACCTCAGGAAAATAATACCAAGGCTAACTCATGGTCACATTTATGTAATTAACCCAAGTAAGAGGTCATTTAATGTTTACTTTCGTTTTGATGATAAATATTTAGATTCAAAAAGATTACATTAAACCGTTATAGTTCTTCCAAATACACATTATAGTTCTATTATAAATATAGCGGCCATTTAACGTTTACTTTCGTTTGGTGATAAATATTGAGATTCAACCAGATTACATTAAATCTTTATAGTTCTTACAAATACACATTATAGTTCTAATATAAATAAAGAAAATTCCATGGGTTGAAACGAACTGTTTGATTTAGAAGTTACAAGACATATCAGCTCATCCATCCCCAAGTTTAGAAGCATTTCATATACCATTGGCACCATTAGTTTTTTGTAATTTATAACATAAAAACGCCCAATTAACTGTATCTACTGACTATTGAGGTGCACGTGGTAGCGTATATGTCACCTTTGTGTGAGAGAGAGAGAGAGGGAGAGAGAGAGAGAGGGTGTGTGTGGCGTTGGGCATCAGTCCCCGAGTTCACACAACACTCTCAGACTTAAGAATTTACTCGAAATTGTTCGTCTTATTTTAAGTAAAGTATAGCCCTTTATAACACTTTTCTTGTTTAAACGTATCAAATACATCACTAAGAAAGTATGTGCACAGTTTTTTTGTTTCTGGATCAAAGATATTTCTCATAAACAGTGATTGAAAACTGAGTAAATTCTTAACTTAAACATACATTATGCAAGAGCTAAATCTGCCTATTGATGGTCTTTCTTTGGGCCTGAAATGTTATCTAAAGTAAACATTAGACATTAATTAACTTAATTAAATTCTCAGTTCAGCAAATTCTCGTTAGTCTTTAACTGGTGAGCAGTACAAACGTCTTTTTTTATTTAAAGGCAAAAGCTACTAGCCTAATGGTATTGTAATGTATTTATGTGTATATCTTTATTGGATGCACATCGATTCTGCTATGAATTGTCACTTAAATGCTTCTGTAGACGTCAATCCAACCCCGACATGCTAACTCTGAAGAAATCATTTCAAACATCTTCTTTCTTAGCACGGTTCGACAACACATGTATTTCAAAGGCGGTCTACCGATACCATATGGATATGTGAAATTTTAACAAAAAAACAAAGGTCTATTGTTTTCCTGTAATGTATAGACCGCTAAAATCCTTTGAACTTTTCGATATCAGATAGCAAGAAATAAAAACATGTGGAAGCGACTTAAGGTATTTTTCACGGTGTTTAACTAAGCCGAATTCTTGATCTGTTATCTAATCGTTACGAAGAACGTGTGCTTAAACCGGCATTTTGCTGCGTGTAACAGCAGGATCTGTCCGGGAGAAATGGGTACATGCACAAATCTTGTGAATGTATTTACTGCCGCTAGTCTTACCCTCAAAAAGGTGAATGGGGATATTTCCTGTGCTGTTTACTTAACTGGTACTAGAATATGTATTTTGTAAATCAGGTCTAGAAATGGTTAAAGTGAGATTAATAGTACACATGTACTATTGGAATGCCAACACCGGGATCAACCCGGGACATCGTCTACACTTTTGTACGACGCCCCTTTTACACTTAAGCGTTTGACTTTTGTTGGATTCCAAACACATTTTCTGGGTGGTCTTTAGTCGGGTTTGTTCGAAGGAATTCAACTCGAGGACATTATAACTATGTAGTTCCAACCGTCACAATTGTTTTTAGTATTCCGAATTATATATTTGATGCTTTTTAATCTCATAACTTCACGCAAGCACCATAAATACATAGAATGGTTGCACATATCTCACATTGAAATCTTCTTTTAGAATTTTGTTCTTGAATATTGTTTTATATCGTCTGTATTTATTTAAACTACGAATATGCGGGGATTTCATCCTTAAAAACCTTTTGTACTTTCATTTCATTCCTTGGTTATCGATCGTTTGCGCAGGTGGTCTATAGCAAAACCGAGGTAGTGGTAGCTTCAGTTTTAAGAAATTTTAAATCCGAAAGTGAGAAATTTAAAGTCTTTTCTGTTATATTAGGTATACAAATGGGTTACAAATTATTTTGTAATGATAGCTGCATTTTTCGCTTCTGGCTGTTACAGCACATAACAATAAAAAACGTTCTCTTAATAGTGGTAAAAGTTGAAGGACAACTGCACAGTTAACGGATTATACACGTGTACAATTTCCGGATGTTACGTGTGAATAGGAATCATTGATTGTTATTGGCTGCAAGAAAACCCCGTGACATTTGCGCAGACAATTTTTAGCTGTCTGAAGATGAAGAATTATGGGACTGGCTGGAGTTGACGGATCAGTTCGGTCCTGAAGAATTGCTTACAACAATTCAACTTGTGCTCGAAAAGTGTACGCTGCGTAACACTGTTTAGTTACGGGGATTGGTAACGAACAGTTATAAACCTTCTTGTCGTTTGTTTCGATTTGTTCCCTGCATTCATCTATTCATTTCGGAACATTTTGAATAAATATTCTGTTTACTTCTTTGTTTTCCATAAATTTGTTATTTTTTCGTATTCTTCCGTAATTTGAAAACCATGTTTTCTTATAAAAATCTCACGCCAAATCGGTCGGTATTTAAACATTGTCTTTGTCTTGTGACTTGTGTTCTCGGGTTTGTGGGTTTAAGGTTTTAGATGTGAATGACTTTAAATCCAGTCTCAACAAAAGATGCAAATCTTCTAAAACAGAGAAAATCCTAGCAAGGATTTTAAAAAGGTGGGGAAGAGATGAACGCATTGTTGATTAAACGATTTATTTATCTCACCTGCAGTGAAACAGGTAAACAGTCGCGTTTGAAAAAATGGATTGGAGCAAAACGTGCGAAAATATTGATAAAACAATGGGAATAAGAAAAAATAAGAGAATTGTCACCGACCGGGATTATCTAGACGGGCATATGCCACGCAGTGTGCTAAGCGGGAAATATGTCCGATTATCGGAGTTTCCGCCTCAGCCTACTCCTCATCAAATATCAACTGCCAAGAGCTCGTTTACGTACACAGCAACGGGTGTCCGGGTGGACTTAGGGTTTTCATCTCGTCTGCCAGACTCCTCGTCGACAATAAACGGCAGCAACCCATTCTGAGCAATGAATAGTGCAAATCGAAAGTGGTAAACTCACTAAAAATGAAAATTTCACCTCTATTTACTATTTTTCGAGTTCAGACAAAATCTATGTTTTTATATACGCATACAGTATTAATATTGTCGTACAGCGTCGTCATCCATGTCCAGTTTTCCTAGGTCTGTTTACGTTTTCATGGAAAAACAATAGAGAGAAACATTGTCGATGAATCTGTCTAAACTTGCTAAAAGCTTCTTTGATTGGCATTTAGTAATTGAACATATTAACACAAGGTACAATTTTATGGATACACAATTACTGAGTTTGATACAAAGCGACGTTTCGACGAGGATACTCTCATCTTTATCAAGCAAATGTTACAGGTATGTGAATAGTAGGCAAATATATATAGAATATGCAACAAAAATAACAATCAAATACAATTAAAACTTAACACCTGTATCATTTGCTTGATAAAGAGTATCCACGTCGAAACGTCGCTTAGTAGCAAACTCAGTAATTGTGTATCCATAAAATTGTACCCTGTGTTGCTAAAACTTGTTGATGAGAACAGTTATTGACGATCCTCATTTAATCATTATACACGTTTCATCCCAAGGGCGAGCCCTGTCGCAAATTCACGCGTCGAACTATAGGCCCTATCTCCAAAACTCTATAAATGCGTAATAAAGGAATACCATATATGATTTGTTTTATTTATTTATTTTTCTTTTTATTACGAAATTTGTGAATGTTCAAATGTTATAAGATTGCACGCAATCGAAATTCAACGCACATGAACGATTATTTACAGCGTTATTAACCATTTTACGTAAAAGAAAACTGTAAACGTCAAATCATGTCTCTCGTTTACGGGCAAGGTCAGTAACGCTGTAAATAATCATTAATATACGTTGCTGGCTTGGTTTTCTTTAAATTATAAGTAGGCTGTTAAGACCTGCCGAACATCGATTACTGCTTGTCGGAAATTAACACATTTATGCGAATATTTACATAGTTGTTTCACTTTTGTCGAAATTTGTATTATTTATTGTACATGTATTTATTATAAGGATGAACCAGCGCGTATTCGTGATAACAAATAGAGTCTTTAACCCTGTGAACGCGCTACAATGAACATTTATTCGAACTGGGAGTGATCAGATGTGATTAGATTATTTCATTTGATCCATGTGTAACTTTTATACACCCACATTTTCATGGGGACGTATTATGTCGTCGCTACTTTGTTTGGGGACACTCTGCAGGTCACAATTTTTATCCGATTATGATGAAAATTAAATTATAGTTTATATTCCAAAGATCTCGAATGGGTTTTCCGAAAGCATTCTGAAAGCGACAGAGGCTACAGTTTTTGAAAGATTTTTTTTCTCCAAAAATTATATTTGAAACATTGTGGTCATGAGAGACCTAACATATCGATAATTAGGATTCCGTGATCGATACGATAGATGCAACAGATGTTTTTCAAATTTGGTGTAAGCATTGAGTTCATGAGAGGAAGAATCCTATTGTTATCCAGAGTTCTGCAACCTTCTGGGGGGTTGGATGGCCGAATGGTTAGCACGTGCGCGCTGTATCATAAGGTCTGTCATTGAGTCAACTGGCAGGGTTTCGATACCCGGTTGTACGTGGCAAGGAGTAGGGTCGCTTGTCCAACCTCGTGGCTTTTCCCCGGGTCTTCCGGTTTCCTCGCACTGCCAAAGACCCCTACGCACAAGCGAATTACTGAAACAAAATTGAACACATGTGTTAGTCCCGAAATGACCTAGCTTGTGTCGAGTGGACGTTAAACCCCATTTCTCTCCCTCTCTCTGCAACCTTCTGCTCAGAACTCGATAGAGGCTACAGTTTTAAACTGATTTTGTTTCTAAAAATTTGATGTGAAGCATTGGGGCAATAAGAGGGCAAGCCCTATCGATTTTCCCAGTTCTCCTTCAATATCTTGTAAAATGTGGACATATCTTGCATGACAATCGCTTGGTCATCAGGGATTTGCCCTTACGTGACTCCGCGGACGATTTGATGCTTTAATCTTTGTGTTATTATTTTAGTCGATTATATGAATCATGCCTGCTCTAAATTCTAGGGAAATCAGGGGATATCGTGGCTAAGTGGGTAAGACGCTAGCTCGCTAGCCTGGGGGTCGTGTGTTCGATCCCTGCATTGGCCGAGAAAGTTCATCCAGATTTTCCGGCGTGGTTCTCCCTTGTCAGTGATGCAGGACGGAGGGACTGACAAGGAAAGCTGTCTAGTCGTTCGGATGGGACGAAAAACCGAGGTTCCGTGTACACATTGGCATGCACGGAAAAGATCCCTTGGCAGTTGGAATTCGATATAAGAGTAGGCCGTAGTGCCGCTGTCCGGGCAAAATGTCCCTCATAGCACACTGTATGGCGTATGCCCGCCTTCATTAGTCCAGGTTAGAAGCAGAACAGTAGGACGTTAAACTCCATTTCATGTCATTTCATTTCTAGGGAAATCATGACAAAACCAACTGGGCGGAATTTCATGAAAATATGGGTTTCGATTATGTTTCAATTTTAAACTAACGTTTAAGGCTTTCTTCACCGTTTGCTGCAACATCTTCTTTCACAAAAATGAAGAACTTAGCGCCTAGTATCTCAGACAGTGTGATTGCCGAGCTCGGTCAAAAGCCCAGTAGTTTAATGCGTTACACGAACAAGAATATAGCTGCATTCAACCTATAAATCAAACTAGATTTATTTACACATATGATTTCTGCGTCTTGCTTTACGAATCTCCTAATAATTACGCCATTATCATTTGTATTCATATTGCAAGTTTGTTCACCGGATACATAGAATGCAAATGCATTGGGGTTTAACGTCCCATAGAATTATGTTCTATTCTGGACAGGCAGGTGGCTCAAATGTCATAAATGGCTATACGAAGGTTCATTTAAAATAGGATCGAAGTTCCAGATTGTGTCTTGTAGCAATACAAGTACCAATACTCCATTTTATTTTATTTGAGTCCATGCAGTAGAAATTCATAATTTTGCTTTCATGGAAGTCGCACTTGTCCTTTCCCAAAATAGCCAGACAACTGTTTATTGTGTAACGCGTGATCTTGTCATTCACTTGTCTTTAGTGTGTTATTAGGCATGTTATTACGTGATAACCGTCATGTCTTGAGAGTTAGATCTGGTATCTTAAGGAGATTTAGAGATTAGGTACGCAGTAGCTCTTAAAATTTAAAGGTCTTAACACGGTATAGGGGTCGAGAAATGGAATTTATTTCTGAAGCACGATCCTTCCGTGGACAATTTTCATTTTTTTTTATATTTTCAACAGTAGACGCAATGTTCATTAATGCCATTATAAAGTTAACTACAACGCTTCAGATAATTCCGTCGTTCTAACAGCCAAGATGTCATAATCTCAAACTAAGCAGCACCTACGATTTATGGAAGGCGCTATATGTCAAAAGATAATGAATCACCAAATAAGATTTTTAAATTTCACCATTTCAAAACCAATCACAGTTATTGAAACAAAAAAGGAATCACAAAATTATTCAACGGGGTTCAAAGTACATTTTATAGCCTGAAAAGTGAGGAAAGTAACCCCGATTTTAATCGAAACTACTATTTACAAGGATATGATCGATTGATTAATGATCCGACAAAACGAGAACATTGATCCCAACTGGGTTAAAATGCTTTCAGTTCATGCATTTAAAAAAAGCTTAATATTCATATAGGAACATATCTGTGCTATAATTATGTAAAGGCTTATTATCAATTTTGCAAACGAATCCTTAGATGCAATTAAGAAAGTTAACGTAACAGGTTAAAAACTTTAACAAAGATGCTGATTAGATCAAAAAGCAATTTCAGACAAAATATGTTAACTTTTAACAGTATACCTATTTTTGCAAGATTATAGATCACTTTCATGTATGTTTTATTTTTACCATTTTGTAAATTAAAAAAAAAACAAGTTAAAACTTACCCTTTTATAAGGGTGGCTACTGCCTCCACGAAATATGTCTATATATATAAAAACTGTTTTCGAACTTCCGGAGTATGAGATAAAGAAATGAGCTTCCTCTATAGTCCGTAAAGTGATGCCACACTCGGTAACAAAACAATTAAAAAGCAATTCTTGAACGACTGTAAAATTTTTCTCTATCCTGGATTTAGTTCTTAATGTGATTAATTCTGTCACTCTCGTTCATCATCTGCACTTTTCCGTCGTTAGTTTGCCAGAATTCAAAAATAAAATAATATTGTTTCTAAAAAATTATTCTCCTGGGATTTGTAAATAGAGCGAAGCACAAATTAACGAATTTCCTTCCCGATTTTATGACAATTTTCTCTTTATGGCACCAAGGTATCGGTATCAAAACATATAATATCTTGTTCTCCTCAAATTTAATTCACCGCTTCTTGGTCCCGAGTCTTTTTGGATACTGAGGTTGAGAGATGGAAGAATTGGAATGACACCCCGATGTTTGTCCAACGAAATTTTTTAGTTTTGCCCCTGTGTTTGTTCCCTACGCCACGTGAAACATTCAAGATACGTGATTCGTGTTTGGTCTCTGACGAGGTGGAGGCATCGGTGAGCTGAGTTTTATTTGTCGTGTATTAAATCAACAAGTGACGGAATAACCGTGTTTGAATTAACTAGAAAAGAGTGTGTCCACGTCGAATATCCCCGTCGCGCCTTCTTCAATCTTTGTTGATCGACATTGATCTCCAAGTCTGTATTAAGGACAACCTCCCAGCAAACAAATGTTCTTTTTACCTCTCCTCCATTTCTGAAGAAACAATTATTCTTTTTTTTGACGGGGCCTGTGGTATGTCTAATGTCAATTCCTACTAAAAGTTTACTGCTTTTTGAAATGGTTCGACCAAGTAATCTATATTTGTACCGTTGTGATTTTCTACAACTTTAAGGGAGACTCTTCAAGCGGATGCTAACTTTCTAACTGGGTTGCTAAAACTGAAGAATTTTGTTTTCTTTTGTTCAAGTTGTTTATTAAATCGGATAACACCATGTTGTTGATCCGCTTTCTATTAATTCAATTGTTGTTAAATTTAGCCATCTTTGTTTTAAAAATCAGGATTGTCCTTGTGCGCTTTAGTCGAGTTATAAATTCAATGCGATAAATTTCATCCGAAATTAAACATAATCTTTTGAAAATAAGAATAGAAGAAATACGCAACTATAAATAATTCGAAGATAATTCTATCGCATTATTTTCAAAATTATATTTTAACTTGTACTATACGCAAATCATCGAACCTACACCAGTCTGGAATGTTCAAATTTATGAAAAAGAAAAACAAATACCTTTTAAAATCAAAGAGGAAATATAGTTGCAAGGCGTCTGTCAAAAGGAAAAATCACAAGGAATAATATTTTATAAATTCAATGCAAAACTGTTTAATACTTTACATGTTGCTTTACATGTTTGCAAATGCGGAACTCTCATTGCCTTTGTGATTTTTACTTTACCTAAATTGTGCGGAGGTCGAGATGGACCTGGGGTCTTGAGATTGAGAACAAAGGCCAAGAACGTTTTCCAATCCAGTCATAAATGCCTAGGGTTATTCAACTGATATAGAAACTTGTACAATTTGAAATTGCATATCAAAGATACCTTGTGAAATGGGCCAAATAACCTTTCCAAGATGCGATTATTTCAGAAAATAAATAATATAATGCTACCCGAAAGTGATTACACTGAGAAAGACAAACGAAACACTAGTCAATTTGAATAATCCTTTGATTTCGTCAAAAAAACTATTTTCTCATAGCAAGTGTAGGAGAACCGCAGAAATGAGCTTAAATAAAAGTTTCCCGTATAGAGAAGGTTCAACCTCAAATGACTATAAGAGTGATTATATTACAGCTCCGATTCACGAACAATATCAGCAAAAGTCTGTATTCGCCTATGAATAGTGATTCACGTGAAATTTTCTATATCTATCAACGATTATAATGTTAATATTTCTATGGTAAGCAAAAACATATTTATTAGGGTTTATGTAGCCCTCTGGCGGATTATACGCATTTTGATCGTTTTAACGTGAACACCTGTCAGATTAACATACAAATCCAGAGGCGTAATCCAACTTTAAGACGAAATCCGTTTAAAGCAAAGAACAAACGGACTTTAGTATATATATACATTTGTATGGCTTTAAAAAATGAATTTTAAGTTCATCATTTCTGACTTGGGAGATATTTAAGGATGTGATGTTAAAACTGAAGAAATGTTCAGGAAAAATCGTTGACCTCTCAGGTTGAAACAATCGACCTGAATAAACAAAAATAACGATTTCACTTCTTAACATTTACAACGCATTTTCTTGTCATACAATATGTTTTTTTTGTGGAGTTAAAAGCCGAAATAATAGCCTAGATCATAAATGTTAAAATTATTTCTTTTCCCCGGTGTTTGTTTGTAAAAGGTTAGTAGGTAAAAATCAACAATCATTCATTTCTTGAATTGAGGATAAATAATGAAATATATGCAAAGGATTTTAACTGCTGCTCTAGTTACGAAATGCAAAAGACGTAGAAAAAAATCAAATCGGGAATAGTGTGAATTTGGATCACATGAGATTAACAGCTTCTAAAAGTTGGAGTTACTTGAATATTTGATCTTTTTGGCTATTGCGACTATGTCTTTCTATTCAACCTCTGAACGAAATGCTAAAAAGAGCATTACTAGATTTGACAAGGCATCCATTGGTGCATGTTGATGTGCGTAAATGAAACGCCTGACAGCATTTAAAGAAATAACCTGTTTACCTTGTCTGAAAATTGCTGAGCAAAATATTGAGCCTCTCAGAAACTATCGCCAAAATTAAGTATAAGAAAGCTAAAATCTAAAATTTTGGCCAGTTGTCTATTTGACCTGATACACGAACCCACGACTGACAAAGAGATTTCTTCATTTTAATTGAATAATCTTAAGCTAATTACTGCAAAATCTGACTGTAGCCTCTCTGTACAATATTAATATTCGACGAATCCTATATGGATTCAGATTACCGAAGAATTATAGATCACAATTCTCTAACATTTAGCTATTTTTTCTCTATATTTGTCAAGCTTGCAGATGTTTTATTAAATTTTATGACTTGTCCACCTGAGCCCAGTACCATTTTAAATGACTATATGCGTCGTTAAAATATTAAACACGTGGTTTCCAGTGAGATTCGTTAAGCTGAGGCCACGGATGGCTGATTCCTGTCACTGTCTACAAAAAGAGAAGAGAAATGAAATTCGGTTTAACGTCCTACTGTTCTGCTCCGACTGGGCTAATGAAGACGGGCTTACGCCATACATTGTGCTATGAGCACAATTTAACCCGGGCAGCGGCACTACGGCCTTCTCTTATATCGAATTCCAACTGCACGGGATCTGTTACGTGAACGCCAAAGTATCAATGTGTACACGGGTCCTCGGTTTTTCGTCCCATCCGAACGACTAGACAGCTGTCCATTTCAGGCCCTACTTCCTGCATCACTAACAAGGGGAAACCACACAGGAAAATCCAGATGAACTTTCTTGGCCAAAAACGGCGATAAAAGAGAGAAGCGAGCGGCATTTATGCATCACATGGTGCCCCACGAGGTAAAGATATTTGATGTGATATAACTCTCACGGTCGCCCAAACTCTACAGCGTGTCTCGTTAAAAACTATCTACCGGTAATACATCAAGCGAGTACTGGGGTGAGTGAAATTACGATATTAACTTTGTGTCTTGGGTTCTTCTGTGCAGGTTTTGTATATTTACTCATCATTGTGTATTGTGTATTTTTGTATGAATAAAAATAATATGTACAAAGGGTTGTTAACCAAATTTCAGGCCCATATGGTATCGTCTATGAATCGTATCGTCTATGGGTGTAATCGTCTATGAAGGGTACATTGGTATGGTCTCTGAATGGTAGTCGTCTATGAAAGGTAGTCGTCTTTGAAAAGTATCGTCGATTGGTGATATCGTCGACGGTGAATGGTATCGTCTGAATGATTGATCGCCGATAAATGGTATCGTTGATATATGGTATTGCCGTTGGATGAACCTACATGACGGCATTAATTACATGATTTCCCAGCGCGCGTACTACGGAAGACTTTTCTGTATTGTAATTCACCTTGTGTTGTGTTGTAAACTGGATTCTTAATTTTGTGTTTAGTCTTGTTTATTTCCCAATACGACCCCATCTTGACCATCATGTGGTAATAACAACATGTCTATAGATTATGCATTTAAATTCCATCGCGACTTATGTTTCAGAGAGGACCGAATATCAGGATGGCATACACTTCTTTGTTCGCGGGTAAAACATCTAATTCACTAACAGTTGTTTGTGTAAAATGTTTATTAGTTGTTGAGAAGCGTTTGAAAGTTCTTTGAGGTCACTGGCTTAGACGAAACTAACAAACCGTTTGTGATCAGGATTATTAGCTTTTAGGGGTTCGTGTCTTATAGTGGTGTATATGTATGACCCATATCAGGAGAGATATTCACCACTGGGCATCCTTCGGGTGCTCGTTTATGGTCACGACTATACGACAAAATATAGTTCACTACACCCGAACGGATAGTTCAACCAAAGTCGTCAAAGTGGACGCCACTCTCTTCAATGAACTGCTACCAAACCTTTTCCTTGACGAAAACGCAAGTTTGATTTCCGAAAATTTGATATGACCACATCAATTTTCTTTGGAGACAAATTCTCGGAACGTTTGCCAAAATTTTTGACTACGCTGAAAAAACTGTACTGAAGGTAGAATATGATAACGACGATTTCAAGATGTCTACTCACAGTAGAGTTAGTGACCGTGTTATGTCCAGACCATAAAACAAACAAACCAACCAAATATCTAGAGTTTATTTACAGTTGCCTAATTTATATTTACGATGTATATCAAACTGATGTATTTAATGAAACAAAATCGTTTGTATTATTGTTTTTCCCAATAAAAATTAAAAATGGGTGATTTTTTTTTACAATAATACTGTCCCTTTCACAATTTCAGTTCAACATCAGCCTCGGTCGAATTGAATGACAAAGACACAGCCTCGGTCGAATTGAATGACAAAGACACAGCCTCGGTCGAATTGAATGACAAAGACATGATTTTCCACCTAATATAATAAGCAAACTACTTAAACATATTATCTGAATTTAGATAACTCCTCAGGTTCTGGGGCAAATAACATATCCAACACAAGATGTGTTTTGTCCGCCATTTTTCATCTGGTTCACCCTTCAGGGGCTCTCGAGCATGCCATGCGCTTCATATGCCCCAAAATATAATAACCACGAACAGTTAGTGAATCGTATGTAGTTGCTACAAAAACACGACATCCACAGAACTGTAAAACATTCTTCGGGGTAGATTCCAACCAAAACGAACTTTTCAACTACCTAACTTGGAGATACACAAGATGAAGCAGATGACAGAA